CGGGCAGCCGCGGTGGGAAGCCAGCGACTAACCGCTTGAACTATGGCGCGGCCCTAAGTTTCTTGCTTAGTCTACTCTTAAACCCTGAAGACGGAGGCGATACGTTCCTCCAAGGCGTTGGATGGCTTTCAGAGAACTACACGGCATTATATAGCACAAGATAAAACTCGAGGAGAAATATTGTCACGTGTATTTGTTTGTGACTATCGAAGGTGTTTTGGATTTATGAATGTATCTATTAACCACTTGTGAACACAGCTCGGAAATACAAGTAATTACAGTGCCATCACTGATATTCACAAATCATCAGAGCACCCGCTAAACCTTTTCCAGCCTGCTGTGTCTTCATCAACCGTTCCCTAGCAACGGCTTCTAAAGTGGAGATTCTTCATCTTCTCTTCACAGGCTGACTTTCAACTGACAACTGGGTCGCCCCGGTTCTCTTCAAGATAACTCCTCGGCATGAACCACATAGAAAATATTCCCGTTTCCATTGCGGTAGTCCAACTGTTGCAGCTGCCTAGCAAGGGATTCCATAACACCATTTCCAACTGTAACTGTATCGTTGTCGAGGCTTGTTTACCGCGCTGTTGCATAGCAACAACTGTTGTCTCGTTTGTGTCGAGGTCTTTGCCTAGCAACGGGTCTATACGCTACTGTATGTATGTAAGAATTAGAATAATTTCTCGTTGCAAAATCTTATCAAATTTGGAATGATAAGTTTTGAGATACATGCTTTTGAAACGGTTTCAGTGGCACTTTCTAGGGACCACATTATGTCACTCTTCTTCAGAAATTTCTGGGATTTTTTTAAGTAATCAAAAGAATTACATTGATTACTTAGGTAAATTATCCTATGCATACGAATGTTGATCCCTTTATTCCAGATTTTTGTGACTAATTATTATTGGAAGAAAAGCAGTTTTATATTTCTTTGTGCCCACACATTTCACGGAGATTATGAACGAGAAACATCCGTCCCCTCCCCCCTCCAGGCTCACGAATGTGGTCCTACTTTTTTTAATTGTAGAAAAAAGTACTGTAATTACAAAAAAGGCCTAGGCAATGCCCAACCGGACTCTATATGCGAGGATCCAAACGCCATCTAGGAAGCGAAACTTGTAACTATGTCGCCGGTGTTGTGTTCAGCAGTGCTGAAAGGTAGACGACGGCGAAGAAGAGAACTGCAAGGAGTAGTACAAATTGTGTATGGATGGTTGCCTTATTACAAGGAAACGCGAGAGACGACAGCGTTTGACGTGCGCATACTTCCGTGCTGTAGGCTCCATTGAAATGTGTCACACATCCTGTCTTCATTGGTCCTCCTTCCACTGTGATTTTGGTGCACAAGTGAGACACATTCAGAACTGAAAAGCAAAATAATTTCCATCAGTCTTATTTTTAATTCGTTGTGAGACAAGGAAAAAACAATAAATGTACACATTTTCTTAACAGATTGCAGTGCAAACCTAGGCGTAAACAGATGGATAACATTAAAATGGATCTTCCGAATAGTTCATTTTATGTGAGCTGACTGCAAGCATCTCACGATCGAGTCAGTTGTTTAGCTTTTGCAGAGGCCTACTGATTTCTTTTCTTATATGTAATAACCATCCAAATACACTCATCTCTGAGTGGAAGACATAAATTATGAAGCTCTTTGTTATGGAATTTTAACCACCTTGTTATTTCAGCTTTCCAATGAATACACAGCCTCTTCAGAGTTTTGTCATTGTACTCTTTTTCCATCAGTGCCAGAGGATAAGTGCCTTAACAGAATAAAATAGCGCGTAACATTACACATTCATATAATTTGGGCACTCAGTGGCGTAGTTGGTTGAGGCACTAAGCTACAAGCCGAAAGGTAGCTGGTTCAATTCCCGATGAGGTAGCTGGATTTTTCAATTGGCCTAATCCTTCCAGCCGCACTGTGGCCCTGGAGTCGACTCAGCGTCTAACAGATTTCAGTAGCAGGAATCTTCCTGGGTTGTAAAGGGCGACCGGCGCGTATGGCTGACAACCTTACCGCCATCTGTGAGCCGATTTTCTAGATAATGTGGGAGCCTCCACGTCTCGCAACCCTGTGGGCCTCCACGATCTGTTACAGGGATAGCCTTCTTTATTATTTATAAAATTGAATCTTTAGTGTCTGGGGGAAAAAAAGGACGAGAGGACGTGAACTGAGTGGTAGCATTCATTTTCAGTTATGATTTTCTAGCATCGCAAAATAGCTGGATCAAACCGGATTAACTTGAACACAGTCGTAAAAGGGGAAGTGTCTTACCATGTCCGTCGAAATAATGTGTCCATTTAGCACAGACACTTCCTGGATCCAGGTGACAGAGATATTTCTCACGCTGCGTTGTGTTCCAAAGTTCGTCATAATTTGGTTCTGGCCAATAGAAACAATAGCACTTAGTAAGAACTGAAGTTCTCACAGCGACAGTTATCAAGATCTATATAATATTTAAAAAATATTTTGTTCCACAGTATGTGGATTATAGAGGTTAAAATTTCGTAGCACTTTCGTCAATTTTTAACCATTAAGGTATTATACACAGAACTGAAAGCAATCTATAAAATGTATGGACTTAGGATATTTCAGAACAGGGTGTTCAGGAGAATACGTGGCAATTGTATCCACGAGGAAGATGATAGCAGGATTCTAGATACCCGTAAAACGACAGTGTCGAGATTCTTTTGCATTTTTCATCAATTATTATTTGAATGGTCACATAAAGAAAGATAAAACGTGCTGGACATATATTGCGCATTACAGCTGAGGAATTCTCACATAAGCGTGGTCGGAAATCCCGAAAGGAAGGCACTGCGATGGTTGCCTAGACATATAGGAGCTTAAGGACATAATGTCTGGATTTAATTGGCTTATTAAATGACCGAATATCCAGATTTGTGTGATCATGGCAAGTAACATTTGTGTTCCTGGAAAAACTAAGAATTTCTTGAGTAGCTGACGGATTGCTAGCGTTTCCATGGAGATATTTATTCAAATTGTCAGAATCCTGATAGAGAAAGTCAAAATATTTACCAGTCAGTGTAGGTAATACAAGTGTCAGCAGCCCTTTGCTTACGTGTCCTGCCGGGATAAACATAGGCCTGAACTCATGCCGCGTAAGTTAATTGGTTAATAGTCTTTATGGGAACGGGAACATGTGCACAACATCGATAATTATGTGATATGCTCTCCACTCAATTATCTCTACATCTTTTGAGTGATTTTCCAGAAAATCAAAATATGAACACATGCTTAATCTCCGAAACTACGTACTAATGGCATTTTCGTAACATTTGTCATCTGGAGTCTACACTTCTTTTCTTGGTAAATTTTAATTTGGTTGGCTGCAGTGTAATATACTTCCAACTTACATGAAATTGGAGTCAGACATTAGCAAAAGTGACCCATTGTTCGGTGCATGGTATATATTTTACATCAGTTTTAAAATATTCTGAAGTTCCATTTTTTAATTTATCCATATTCTGATACAGAATAAAATGTACATTCTAATACACATTCATGATGCATTATGTGTAACGAAACTGAATGAAACTTACCGATAGCAAATCCAGCGAATGCAAACCCAAAACAACGTTTTATTGCAGAACTGAGCATTGACAGAGGATGTCTGAATTCATCATACGCCATACATGCTTTCTACACATCAGCTTTCATAAACCGTTATCTTTAATTTATCTTCTGCACTGTGGATATTATTGAGGGACACAAAGAGATAAATTTGACTCATGCCCTTATAGACCTAAAATATACCACTTTTTATCTTCAGCTAGCGGGATTACTCGCTGACATTTTGTGTGACAAGAAAAATTGGCTAACATTATTCTTAGTCCACCAGAAATAACCTCATTTTCCATTTCATATCTGATTGATTTTTCGTTTCAGTTCTTGTGTAAGGCTAAAGTGGTTTATATACGATGATATAATGATGCAATGTGCTGTTATGTGGTGTGCAGTCTGTCACTTCGCGAAGGTCCTTGGAGCATTTCTTATAAATTATGGCCAGTAATGGGTAGTATCGTGGACGGAAATGTTTCTTGACTAAAAACTTATATACACATATAGGCCTACGGATATTTTGCTCATAGCTATGGTTATATGTTCTGGAATATGGTGTTGTGTAGGAGAAATTCTGCTGAACTACACGGCGGCACGTTCCAGAAGTAGTGCGCAATGTAATGAATGTTCATTGAAATATAATTTCGCTGCCACATAGTTCGCATTTTGAAAATTAATTTCCTAGTTATCCTTTTCGTATTCTTGTTACTATAGAGAAGAAATCTTTTGTGAATTTTATATACTAATATTTGAAATGCTTCGGGCAGTATCCATGTTTCTTCAAATGGGTTGTTCGTGATTTTATCTTCATTGTTCATCTGTGATTAACACTTTAGAACCCAGCGTGTCCATATGTACCTCATGCTTTAACATACTGACACTCTGAATTCTGCTCAAAGAATGCAGGCAACATCGGGGCTACTCGGCCAAGGGCTATTTCTTTCAGGCTAATTAAGTACTGCACTGCGCAGAAAATTTGTTGTATTTTAGGGTGTCATAAATGTAACTAACTCCTTCTTATGGTAGAATATTCAAACTATAAAAATAAAATATATTGTAGGCATTTTCTGTCTTGAAAATTTGACTTTTATTATTTTTCCACATATTTAGTGATTTCCTGTTTCCCAGAAGAATGTAAACCTACGTTTTCACATAGAGATAATATTTCGTTTTAAAAACTATACATTGAAGAAAATATTATGAATTAGGATGTGAAACACAGCAGTACAAAACCATTGAAGTTCAAGCAAGGAGCAGTAGTCAGTTTCGCCAACAACATATAGTGCTTTTCCCGCAAATCCTAATTTTTTTCAGAATAATACGGCTAGTGTAGGTATTTACTTTCAACTTCAGTTTTGTTATGATGGAACACATGAGAGTGATACATGCTCTGTAACATTTCACAAAACATTCATGTACCAACTGTTGTGTCGTTCGCTACACTTTCAATATCTTACAAGGATACTACAAGAGAAAGTGTCCCGGTTAAGAATTAACAAAAGAAGATAGAAACATCGAAACGGAAGGAAACAAAGAAGAATGAAAAAAGAAAGTAAAGAACAAACATAGAAGGAAGAAAAATAAACACAAGTAGAAAGATGGGATAATAGGACAACGAAAGAAACAGAAAGAAAGGAGAAGAGGGGGAAGATAAAAAGAAGTTAACGAAATCTTGGATGAAGAGAAGAGCGAAGGAAGAAAGTATGTAATAAATTAAGAAATTAAGGCAGAACGAAATAAGAAAGGGAAGGAGAGAGGGATGTACTGAAAGGAATAAAAGGCAGGAGGATGATAGGAACTAAGAAGAAAGGAATAAGAAAACAGAAAGGGATTAATTAAAGGACAGAGGGTAAACGGAGGGAGGAGGATGATAGAATGTGAGAAATGACGTAAGAAATAATGGACAATAAAGAAATTGCGGAAGAATGGAGTAGAGACAGAAGAAAGGAATAAAGAAACAAATTTGGGATGAAAGAAAATAAGAAAGAAAGAAAGGATACATGTACAGTGCCGGATATATTCTAATATATGCCGTTTCCTATAAATGCAATATATAAATTAAAAGCTGAAAATGGATGTAATCTTTTCTGAATTCATCTTGAGTCACGATGTCCAGGTTAGTAGGAGTATTACAGGCAATCAGCAGTAAGCAATGCTATGTTACAGACTTCAGGGTGACGAAGAATACGTTGAGCAGCAATAGGACTGTTACTGGAGTGTACGATTGGCGTCCCGAATTGCAGGGCTGCATACCGGGGAAAGATTTGCAGGCACACACTTCTGTCCGTCGACTGTTGTTTGTGACTGACGTCACACACCCTGACGTCATGGCTGGCTCTCCCTCTACAGTAATCTTGGAGCAGGTGTGCATCGTGTATTCCACTACAACAGAAAAAAACACGTTCTGATTGGGAAAGTCCAGTGGAAGCTTCCTGTTCGTTACAAAGATGCGACATGCATTCAACTGTCTCGGTATGTGCGTTTCTATAAGCACAGTAATATATTCGTCGTCCTTTGCTTTAGGGACAGAGTCCAGTCTCCGAAACGTTGTTTTTTTTAATAAAAATAGGACGATGGATAATGATCAAAGAGGCAACAATAGTTTATTAATTAATCACTTAGATTAGGCTACGGTCTGGGTGACTGAGGAGTAGGGGATCGATTTCCGGAAAGAGCGAGAGTTCTATCTCTTCTCCATAATATCCAGACCGACTCTTGGGCCAACCCCATTCACTGGGTACCGGTGGCTATTTCACCGGGGGTGAAACGGCAGGGCCGTGAACCTAGACACTCACCTCCATCTGGTACCGAGATTAAGAAAGCTGGAGCTATACCTTCATGCCCACGTACTTCTTAATGATGTAACTCTTAGATAGTTAAGCACAGGGATAAGTTTACCATACCTATGTCATTTTGTTAACTGCTTAATTTTTTCTCCCCTTTGGTGCTACAGCCCCCCAATTTGCTCTACCTACATGAAACTCTCCGTTTCACCTCGGTTTAATTGATCTTAGACATTCGGTAAGACACCATGGGTGGGTGATCCGCTGTACACAAACACAGAAAACCCCGCGAGGACACAAACAAACACTAAACATGCATGCCCTGAGTGGGATTCGAACCCATGATCCCAGCTTCCGAGCGAGTGAAGACAGTACATATCTTACACCGCTCGGCTACCGTGACCGGCAACTGCTTAGTTAGGTGGAAATTAATTGGTTCAGTTGCAACAATCAGTAAAATTCCCATTTCAGACTCATGCATCTCTCACGCCGGACTTGGTTATTTACGGTTAATAATCACGAGTCTTGTGGCAGAAACTGAAAGTTTTATGAAGAAGGAGAAGATTTTATATTGAATTTGTTACCTTTGTCTTCGTAATATCTTGTCCACTTGGCACAAACTGAGTCGGCACTGAGCCGACACGACACCTGTTCCCGGAGAAAATTGGTCCATATGTACGTGAAATTTGGAGTCGTGCTGTCATCTGCACAGATGAAAATAAACAAGTTTCATTGAAATTAACCTATATATTGTTCTTAGCATAATTATATACCTTGCATCGCCTTTATTTTCTTTTGTGTCTCCATAGTAAATTTCAATGAGACAGCATCTAGGTGTGTATTTAACGCCCTCCAGTTGCCTAATAACGCTACAATCACACATTAGGCACACCACACACCAACAATAACAACCGAGTATTGTACACATCACTCAGAGCCATCTACATATTTCGAACTAACAGATACAACACATTTTGGATACGGCTTCATATGCAGGTATACAAGCCTCTTGAGTTAAATGTAAAAAAAGGTAAAGGTAAAGCTAACCCTGTTACAGGCCATGGAGGCCCATAGGATTGTGAGACGTCGAGATTCACACATTTTCTAGACAACCGGCTCACAGATGGCGGTAAGGTTATCATCCTTACGCGCCGACCGCCCTTTACCCTCAGGAAGATTCCTTGTACTGAAATTGGAAATTACATGGCGACCAGAAGAAATACACTTCTTGCTTGCTGTTTAATGGCGGAAATCAATCGACGGTTGTAGGTAATAATGTATAATTGGTATGTGGCTAGATCACAAGAGCACCCACAAATTTCATACGACAAATTTTACGTTAGCGCTATGTAAATTATGAACAAAAACTAAAATGTATATTAAAGAAATAACAATTGTCTTCGCTTACTGGTGATGACCATGGGATCTCTGCAAGCATCGTAAACATCTGCACAGGTTGTGCTGCTGTTCATGTAGCTGCCATTGTTGTAAGCGGGTCCCATCCATGTAAACCGGAAGCAGTAACTGTCTTCAGCTCTCGCGGTTGCTAGAACAGCTGTAACCAGAAGGAATCCTCAGCTACATGCTGTTAGCCATAACAGAAACTGTCATGTGTCTTGTTGTTGTTGTTGTTGTTGTTGTTATTGTTATTGGAAAGGGTGGGTTTCCCCATGCACTTAGACCAACTGTTGGTCCATTGTGCGTCCCCCTATGATATTCTACCAGTCTCTATTCCCTACCGGTACTGGTGCGTGCCATCAGTCCCGACTCAGCCAGCGAGTTCGGCCTCTACTGGCTCAGCGGTATCTCGATGCTTCCCCCANCCCTAGACTACGGAGGCCGCTTAAATTGTGTGTCTTTGTATGATATGAGTTTTTTACAGCGGTGATTATGAGTTCTATCGCCCGGGATATAACGTCGTGTGTCCGTTGAAATTCAACCGACGTTTCGGAGGAAAACAGTTGGCAAGCAGACTACCACCTGCTTTGACGCTGGTTTCATGTTTGGCTTATTTTTCGATCCTGAAGATTGAGGCGACATGTTCCTCCGAAACGCCCTTTGACTTCCAGCGGACTACACGGAATTTTACCACCTTTTTGTGTCGTGGCTGTAATTCAAAGTCAGCAAAGTCCAGTAGGCAGTGTAAGCATAAATTATCTATCGGTACGAAATACTATATTACAGAAAAGTAGTGGTTATGCTGTTTTACACAAACCAGAGGACCTATTGGGACTTTTGTCTTCTGATCTCGGTAGAAGACCAATGGAACGCCGATTCTAAGTCGGTAAATGTAGCTAACTGCTTGTGATGATTATTGTTAGCTGACTACAGAAATTCTATGAAGAAGACATTCGATACTTGAGGACTCTAACGGAGACAGATCTCAGTACTGACTGTCCTGTAAGCTCCCTCTAGCAAGGGGGTTGAAGAGAAACCACATGTAAACCTAGCACATACGTCGCGGTGCAGCTTGTAACACATCTGCTGCCTACTCGTACATAGGAAGTTCTGGATTCGAAACTCGCTTTGGAGACTAGCCATTAAGACTAACGCCTTTCTTCAGTGCGTCCAGCTATATTTTAGAATACTATCTTATAATTAGGAAGTTGGGATATCGTACTCGGTATAGCGACTGACTACGAGCTAGACGTCAAGGGGTCGGAGTTCTAGTCCCGGTACCATCAAGAAATTTCTCTTTTCCACTCGTCAAAACCGGATCTGGGATCCACCCAACCTCTTGTCCAACAAGTAACGGAGGCTCTGTCCTCAGGGCTAAAGCGGCCGGGAAGGTGACAACTCAGCTCCAACTAGTGGCTATGTCAAGAAAACGCGGATCTATAAATCCATTCCCCCATAGGTCTTCGTGTCGTTGTGCTTAATTAGTTAAGCACACGGGCAACTTTACCTTACAAATAGCTCCACCGTTTTCGACCTCCAGCGATAGATGGAGGTGAGTGGTCAGCTTCAGCCCCTGTCTGTTTTACGCCCAAAGAAGAGCCACCAGTACCCATTAGATAGGGGGCTGGTTGGACCCTAAATCGGGTACTATGGCCCTGGGGTCGACTCAGTCTCTGACAGAAATGAGTACCAAGAATCTTCCTGGGGGTAAAGGGCGTCCGGCGCGTAAGGCTGACAATCTCACAGCCTTCTGCGAGACGACTGTCCAGTAGATGTGGGAACCTCAACGTCTCAAAATTCTGTGGACCTCCATGGCCTGTTACAGAGGCAACTTTACCTTAATTTATTTTATAAACACTCCATTCCCGCTTGCTTGCTTCCCTTTCCTTATGAGTTCATCATACATGAGCATCGAGCTGTTCGATGCCATGCACTTTTGTGTTTCATAAAGCTTCGTAAACAAACAACCTTAGCAGGCCTATTTTGTAGCCTAATAGATCACTTGGTCCGTATAACACAAGCTTCTTATCTACTGGGCAGATGCTTTCTAGTGACCCATCATTCGTCCATGACGTTCTACACGTAGTAACTGGATGAGCTGCCAGGAAAACTTAAATCTATACATACTGTATCGCTTTGGACTGTTGCGTGATTTTTGGCAAACTATATAATAACATTTTATTTATTCATTTTTCTTCTTACTTCCCTGCATTCTTGAAAGTTAATTTTGGTATCAGTTGCTCAGTATGCAGCAAATTCATGGGTTGTCGTCGAAATCAGACCATACCATCCAATTTTGTTTATTGTTAGTGGGGTGGGGCTAAGTCCCTTGAACTGCGGCCATTTCTGGCCTATTGTACCAGCCCCAGATGATAGGTGAGGGTGATTGTGGAGTAATTGGTGGAATGAAGATTGGCAGGGGAAACCGAAGTACTCGGAGAAAATCTGCCTCACCGCCACTTTGTCCACCACAAATCCCACTTGACCAGACCCGGAATCGAACCCGGGCCACCGCTGTGGGAAGCCAGCGACTAACCGCATGAGCTTTGGCGCGGCCATCGTTATGGCTTTGTTCTTCTTCTCTTTTTCAATTTCCGTGTATGTTACCTTGAAACAGTTGTACAGAGAGCACTGCGCAAAAGAAACGAGGGTAGAAAACACACTGTGCATGTCCCAACGAAGGTAAAATTGGGTCATAACGTTTTACTTACCCAATAATATCCAAAAAATGGAAATAGCACCACTCTTCACAAGAAAATCCTTCATTCTATGAACTTCAATCGGTTGACAGTATTGGTGACAGTCTCTCTCATTAGTGCGTATTGGTTGTTATCTCTGCTTATCGTGTCTTCTTCCTTTAGATATCGGAAAATGAGAGATAAGAGCATTATTTATTGCGGTGACGTATAGCTTATTAGGTCTGCATTGTATCAATACAATTGTATCACCTATGCGCTTTGAATTCTTCTGATGAACGTCTGTTACAGGCTAATTAACCTTACTGGATAGCATCACAGCGTTCAGGTGTCGCCTTCCCTACAGTTATGTACCGCGTAATGATTGTGGCAGATCATACTTTTTTCTGAAGTTAAAGAGAGTAATATTTCAACCCTTAACGTGACAAATAGCTAGCTAGTTCTCTCTATATATTATCTATCTACCTCTCTATCTGTCTATCTATTTACCTATCTCTCTGTCTATTTATCTATCTATGGCCCTTTATTGGAAATTGGCCACTTTTCAGTTTCTAGATCTTTTACACAGTCGGTAGGACTCCTCGGAAAAGGGATCAGCCCGTCGCAAGGTAGCACACACACACAGAATAAAAGTACACAGACATCCATGTCTCGAGAAGGATTCGAACCCACGATCCCAGTGTTTGAGTGGGCGAAAACAGGTCATTCCTTAGACCGCGCGGCCACTGTGATCGACACAAATAGCTATAGTGACGCCATAATTTTACTGGATATTGTACATTTCCCATGTGTGTTTATGTAACAGGAATTTCTTTGGAGAATTACGTGCCCTCGATCAGTACAGATTTTCGATGAAGCTATCGTTTGCTAGCAGCAGTTCTTAATCCAGACGTAGTAGGAAATAGTAATATACACCAGAATTTTTGAGTCTTCTCAATAGACGTGTTTCCACGAAAAATCTAGCCATGGTTGTCGCTACTATCTAGTTAAAATAATAATATTACCATCCTTAGATCAACCCCTTCCAAATCTCCCTCGACCTGCTACGCTTCCCCCGCTAGATCCCTTCTCTATATCCCCCCCCCACAATATTCTAACCATTTTGTTCACTTGAATGTTATTAATGCGTGTCTGCCTAAAACATCTTTGAAGGTACGTCATACCTTGAGCAGGCAACCCTATGGAAGAAAATTCCTGTGTTTAACGAGTTTAAAACAGAATCCAGTAACTTTCTAATAGTGACGTAACAGTCTGCATCACCATCTGATGATGATGCAACTTCAAAGATATTTAAACTTATTACAACATGATAATATTCGCAGTTGACAAGCGCTTTGGAATGGTTCATCTAAGCCAGAAAAGGCTAGCCCCAACTTACGAACATAATGTGTTCTTTCAAATATGTTTGTAAGATGAATGTTCGTATTTTTTTTTTCGTTTTTTTCATAAGATATATCGTTAAATGTGTCAATGTTAATTTGTTAACGTGTTCGTAAACGCAGAGTCTTCGTCCGTTAAGTGACTTGGGACTCGAAATTTATTAGTCTGTGTAATGTTCGCAAATATGACTTCTTCGTTTCTTGGAAGTTCGTGATTAGAGGTTCGCCTGTACATTAGGCAGAGAGTGGGAAGTCTCTAGCGTCTCTAGCGTCTCTAGGGTCTCTAGTACTGTCATCCCCACCATACATGGACTTCCTTCCCCGACCTCAGTTTTTCCAGACCACTATGCTCCAAACGTAAACCACCTGAATCTAGTTATCGCAACAAGCTGCTTTGTTTCCGATGTCTCTTCCAAAGGTACATTACTTTACATTCTGGTTGTTATCAGTTTCTAGTTATTAATAAAGATGAATGTATCCTTGAACTGGGGTCCTAATTTTCCAGAAAAAATCCAACTACAGTGGAACCTCGCTTAACGAGCATAATTCGTTCCACAATCTTACTCGTAATGCGAAACACTCGTTAAGCGAAACAATTTTTCCCATATAAATTAATGTAAAATACGATATTGCGTTCCATGCCGAAAAAAAAACACTCAAAAAATTTATGTATAACGTTTATTCAAAGAAAATTATATATACATTGTTAAGGAGCGTGAATCATCTTCATCTTTTCTTCTGTGCGGAATGAACATACCTGGAATGCGAATTCGATTTGCAGAAAAAAAAATCGAAAACCGTTGCGTAGACATTCTTGTCACTCCCTTTGAAGCATCTATCTCCTTAATCTTGTCCTTGTTCTTGAGGATAGTGCAAATCGTTGATATAGACCGATTGTAAGCGGCCTCCGTAGTCTCCTCATGACTCAAGATACGCGGGTTCAAACCCGGCGGAGGTCGTGGAATTTTTAAGGGCGGAAAAATTCAGGGAACAAGTCCTTTAAGCCGTGGGTCCCGTGTCGTAGATTTACGGCACGTAAAAGATCCTCATATCTCTAGGAGAGCCCTGAGCAAAATTAGGCAAGTTTCCCGCCCAAGTAGTTTCCGATGCCTCTGGTAGATGGGGAAAGCATCAAGGTACCGAGGGCCGACCTCGTTGGCTCAACCGGGCTGATAGGACGCACCAGTACCGGCAGGGTATGGAGACTGGCAGAATATCAAAGGGGGACGTACAATAGATCAACAACTGGTCGCGGTGCATGGGGAAACCCACCCCCTCCAATAATAATAATAATAATAATAATAATAATAATAGACCGATTGCATGTGTGTGCTAGATCAGCCGCGCTCACACCTCGTTCTCGCTTTTCAATGATCTTATGGCTGTCTTTTTGCGGCCTTTTCTTCGGGGAGATTTTTGCAAGGGTTATTAAACTTTGAAAAAACAAATCACAAGTAATATGTCTGAACACAAGTTTGGAAAAATGTATGATCACAAGCGACACTAAGATGCTAGCGGAAGAGTGTTAAACACAGACTGATGTAGCAAGCGCACAATCCGGGACTTCCCCTCTCGTCACTCATTATGCGAAACGTCGCTCGTTAAGCGAGTCATTTTTTTACAATTAGTTTTGCTCGTTATGAGAGGCGCTCGTTAAGCGAGGTTCCACCGTAAATGCGTCATTAACGACAGACCTACTTATATCTCCGTCAAAGTATGTTTACAACGTCCTAGTTATGACCAAGATAATGTGCCAAACATGGATCATTTATGTGTAAGTAAGTTTCGACATGAGCTACGGAGGGTGACATATATACCGACATTGTCAATTGACTTCGGAAACGTCCTTTATCCTCTGAACCACCGATGCATCATAATGCAAGACGCATTCGTCAAGTAGGTTTTGCCATCTGGCGACGAAATGTTCGACTCTAAAGCTGCCGACTGGTGGAAAAACATTTCCACGGCCTCGTAGATGATTGTGGTGTAATACGTTACAATCGGAGACACACTGGTGTAGTTGCGTCCGTTGAGTTCGGCGATGTTCTCTGGTGTTACGTGAGGTACGAAGCTGAGCAATCATCGTGCCAAGTGTTGTATCTATGAAACGAAGTGTAGGACACGTCAGTGTTAGAGGAATTAAATTTGTTTTATAATTGGTGACATAAACGTTATATTTATATAGTCATTCTGAGATCATAATAAGACTAGACCAACAAAATGCATTCAGTATTGACAAGAGGGAACGCTATCTTAGCTTATACATTAAGCGTGCTTGCTGCTCTTACATTTTTTTGTTTTATATCAACCGTTTTCATTGACTACAGAACTGAAGCTACAATGAATACCGTAAAAGTTGTTGTGTAAGTTTGTAGTATTTAAGTTCTCTACAAGTTTCCGGATGAATATAAATATAGAAGTGAGTTGTATATGTAATTGGATTTACCAGCTGGTTCATTTTCAGACTACCAACCCAATCATCCACAGTGATAATCAAGCAGTACCCTTTCGTTTATCTTGAGTACAACCCAATGAAAGGCATATTAATTCCTTTTGTATACTCATCAGATGTAAAGGGAAATTAAATTGAGTAATGAATTATTAAGTATGTAGTCTGTAGGTAAAATGTAAAGTTTCCCCAGTGTCATAAGCATATTGCATTGAAGGTGTATAGAGGGATTCAAAGTATAGTTAAGTTACAGACTCTCCAGTACCCAGTATTGCAAATGTAATATGCGAACCTTGATAGATTTGGTCCAAAGCCAGATCAGCCCTGTATTTTATGGCCCCAGAATGGATACTGATATTTGGGTGTGAAATAAGGATGTAGTTTAATGGGCAGCATATTGTAGATTCGTAGACATTATCACTGCCAGTCTGGATTTTGTTGTGCATTGTTGAATATGTGGTCGTGGTCAGAGATTGAAAATTTTCTTTCAGTTGAAGATGGAGTTGAATCCAACAGAACATTCGTTAAGAACTTCATTATATGCTGTAGTCAGGGAATGTTTTTTATTGGTTGTCTACATGCCCGCAGAGTTCATATCTTAATTGTAATCTAATCTAGAAGTTTGTGATGATGGTACATTAGTAAAAATATGTTTCTGGACATTATCCATCGTTCTCACTTTATACTGTTTATTTTTCAAAACACACCATTTCGGAGACTGGATTCTCTTGCCGTCTTCAGGTAAAACCTACTCAGTTGGGTGAAATCGATAAGAGCTGGTCCCTATCTCTGGACCAGAGATGGTGTTTTTAGATAAAGACAAGATGGTGGATAATGTTCAGAAACATAAAATTTGTACTAATCTAATTTACTCAGTCTATTTTTTCTGTCTCAGAACTTTAACAAAATGTTTCCTGTTGTAGGAAAAATGTTCCAGATTATGGTGTTGCTCGAGAAAAGAATGATCTTGGATTCCTCACCTTTGACTTACAAACAGATATCCTTTTTTCAGTTTTAATACTTCCAGGGTTGTTGAAGAGCTCATGGATAATTAGCGTGATACTTAAAGGCAAAAGCTCGAGTTATCCATGTGATTAAGCTTGGAACCTAGAAGGTGTATGGAGGACTGGAGGTAAAGCTTTATGTAGCATCAGTCTTGGCACTAGACAGAGGTGAAGAGCCCACTCCACACTTCAACCATAGCACAACTTTACAGTATGAGGACAATGTAACTCTTTAGTAAAATTCACTTTTATTTTATGGTTACTAGACCAAAAACAAATATAATGTAAATTAAATTAACTTAATTGAGGGATTGCATAAAATTATAATGGTAATTATTTACAGTTGTGAACTGCCAATTCACAATATCTAATTATCAGTATTAAATCACAGCATTTATAGATGCACTTTCACTTCTGATCAAAGAATCCACAGTGACTTTGATCATGTTTTAATATACAAATAATGGAACTGAAATGAAACTGATGTATGATCTGTTGGAGGAATAGTAATAAGTATATGAGCAATTTGGAAAGGTTTAATCCCTGGAAACTAGACAGTGTGGTAGATACATTCTGTAGATTCGTGGACTTTGGAGAACTTGGAATTACAGTTTTAAATATTTGTCTGTAAATAGAATGACTGTGATGAATTGGGATAGCTCAGTTGGTATAGCAACAGGCTATGAACTGGATGGCCAGGGTTCAATTACCAGCAGGGGCAAAACTTCTGTAATCTCCACAGCATCCAGACCGGCTCTGGGGCCCACCCAGGAGATATGCATAAAATGTCCATTAGGTCCTTAAGTAAAGTAAAGGTAAAAAAAGGTAAAGCTATTCCTGTAACAGGTGGAAGACCCATAAGGTTGTGAGGCATCGAGGGTCCCACAGTATCTAAGACAGATGGCGGTGAGGTTGTCAGCCTTACACATCAGTTGCCCTTTACTCCCCAGGAAGATTCCTGGTACTCATTTCTGTCAGAGGCTGAGTAAATCCCAGGTCCATAGTGCGGCTGGAAGAATTAGGTAAATTGGAAAAATCCAGTGCCCTCATCAGGAATCGAACCCACAGTCTTCCAGCTTGTAGCATAGTGCCTCAGCCATGCTACTGCATGCAGCCATTAAAATCATCCAAGACTAATCTAAAATCAAAATGGCATGACAAAATTTGGTATAGATCCACCATAGTGAGCTGACCAAAATCACCAAATAGTTTGGGTCCTATTACATGCAGATTGGTATAGTGAATGTAATAGTTGTTTTAAAACTTTTCCCCCCACAAAAAAATTTCATGGAAGAACTACCTATTTTACATGTATATGGTGAGATATGTATGTGAAACCATAGATGATTTTCAGCAAGTTTTGTGTTTCTATTAATGATCGCTTTTTAGTGCTAACATTAATCCTTAAAGTTCACACAAAATGTTAACTATATTGTATGTGTGTTTCATAACAACTTTTCTTAATTTGTAACACATCTGACCCACTTGTTCAACTGGAATGTAAAACAGCTGTTCCTATACCTCACCGCAGAATATTCAACTCCAACTAACAAATTAAACCAGGTAAGATAATTAGTTCATGAATGAATTATTTACATATGAGTATATACATTCTTGAATTTCCAGTATCACTTTGGAGTTAACGTTTGTTGCTCAGGTGTGAAACAGATGCTCACCATATTGCAGTATGCTCTGATTCATGAATAAGGTATTGCAGTCTTTCATTCCAATTAATGCCGTCGATTAATTAAAGTCATGCCATGTGTACTATTTAGAGACACATTATGTTATGGTTCCACACAAATATGTGAATAGATATTCTTTATAAAAATGTGTACACTTTTTTTTAGATATAGTATATAGATCATAAAAATTATGAGAGATTATTTGTCATTTCTTTCTTTAGGTTGTGTTATGGGACAAAATCATTTTACGAGGAGAGAATGCAGTTCTGGACTTCAAGAATATGAATACCAAATACTACTTTTGGGATGATGGCAAAGGATTAAAGTAAGTGAGTTTATTTACATTGGTTTAACATGTGTCTTTATGGAAAAGAGGCTGACTTCTTTGTTTATTCTGGTTTGTTCTTAAGCTATGCCCAAACAAAGAAATAACTTTTTATTATGACAGTTTCACATTATGAATCAGAGCCTTGTGCCCAGACTTTAAGAAGTGGTTGAGAAGCTAATTTGGAGCATAAAATATAAATAGTTAGGAGACTGGCCACCATTTCAAAAGAGTTTCAGACTCTTAGCTTTCATTTTTTTTGTATCCTTGTGTGGTTGGGCCTTCATAAAATACTGCATGCACTTGAGGCTCCTGTTACTTCTAACAGGAAAACAGTGGTAACAGCAAAAGGAGAGCCTGCTTTACCAATACTATGATAATGTGCATTTCATGTGTGGGCTTTTATGATGGCAGTGCTGGAGCTGCACCTCTGTGATGTGATACAAACTGTCCTGACTTAAGATTTTTCATGGTCTTCCTCATTCCCTCCAATGAAATGCCAGAATAGTGCTGCACAGTGGACCACAACTACTGCTTCTACATCCTTTCCAATTTATTATTTACACCCTGTTATCCTGTGTATATAGCCTGAGCTACTGACTGCAGTAAATTAAGCCATAAGTGAATATTATGATTGATGCATACAATCAGGTTGGAGGGATTTTGTAACTCGGTATTTGACAGGACTGGTAGTTACTTATGCCTATGAAACCTGGTTGCCGAAAGTGAAATAATAAATGACTGTCCCAAGTAAAGAAAATGATAGATGACGAATGAAAACAAATCAAGAACTAGATCAGTTAATTAACTATAAAAATATAATTAATATTATACATGCACAAAGACTCGTGGCTTGGCTACGAGTCTGCCAACAAGCAGACAAGTTAAAAGCCTGTACTCATGGAAACCATTAAGTACAAGACCAGTGGGCAGACTAAAAATACGATGGGAGGATGTTGTCAAAGCTGACATTAAGAAGAAGGTACCAAATTGGAAGATAACAGTCCAGGACAGGACCAAGTGGAAAGGTTTGGTTGAGAAGACCAAAACTATGTGAGTTGTAGCATCAAAATAGTAGTATTTGGCAGGAGCTTCTGTTTTGTATTGCTGTCACAGAAGTATTAATAACTGCTTTTCAGCAACTATTGTATCTGAAGACACGTTAATACAAAACATGCAGTAGGCATATGTTAGAAGTTGTTCAAAGGAATCACTTAGTTGCTTTTCAAATAGACAGTGCAAAAAGTTGCTGCACAGCAATATAAGAGAGCAAGTCATAGGTGTTAAGCTAAATTCTGCATTTGAATTTCAGAAAATGAATTACATGAGCTCAAAAGTGTTGACTGAGTCTCTGATGAAAGATACTAATGCTGATTTTTTTTGACAGATTAAATTAATCATTACAGTCGTATTTATTCTGAAGGAAATTATTGCAGTTATTATTGCTTCTTCTTATCTTTATCCATCAGACAGTTTACTGTATCTTCTGCACTCAGAATTGTCTTTCCAGGTTTCCTGGGGCTTCCTCTTACACTTTGCCCTTGGTCCTATAACCGAATGTTGTCAAATGTTGTCATCTGTTCTTGCATATAGTAATATATTATTATTTGAAGATAATTATTTATCAACTTATGGTCATATTATGAGTAAGTGTTGAGTGCCATTAAGAAATCATACTCTAATGACATCCTTTATTTTAACATGGAAACTAAACGTTTTTCCTTTGCCTTATTTTCAGGGACAACCCCAATGTCACACTGACCTTGTCATGGATCATTGTTCCTAATGCAGGGCTTTATTTTCAGGGGCAACCCCAATGTCACACTGACCTTGTCATGGAACATTATTCCTAATGCAGGGCTTCTTCCTAATATATTTGCATTGGGACAACATGCATTTCACTTCCCCCCAGAGTACACTACTTCCAGAGTTTAAGAATGAATCATTTGTTTGGTATATGCAAGATGGTATGCTTTGTTATTTTTTATATAATGTGTTGTAATATTCTGGTAATATGATGAAAATCCACACAGTACATGTTGCTAAATTATAACAGTAAAGTGTTTTTCTTTAATGCTAAAATCTCTTTTACATTTTATATAACCAACTTAAGACTAGTGTGCAGGGTGGGGGCAGGATGGTGTAAATGATTTTAATTGCACATTGATTGTGAGGACTAGTAGCAGATGACTGATTCAGAAATGGGTATAAAACAACATTTAAAATTACCCTTCAACAGTTGTTGGTAATATTATATTTCAGCATCCTGTTACACTCACACAATATATATGGATAAATACCGTCTTAAGTGCAACATTAGAGAAATACCATATATATAAAATAAGTAAGAAAGGCCTACAAATGAATGACACACACATAGAAACATACAATCCCATATTTCAAACTATATACGAAATCTATACAAGCTAACGGTACCTCCCTCCCCCCACTACCCATTCCCCCTCCAACACTCACGAACATAAAACACAGCACACAATACACCAGACAGCAAACGTATTAAAGATAAGCAGCGACACACACAGAGAGCGCCTACACTGAGTAAGTACAAATAACAGTATAAACATATAAGAATAACATAACATGACATAACATAAGATAGTAACAGGAATATTTGTATATTACAGACAACACATGAACAACGATAAAAACAAGAAGTGGCCGCTGCAGCACCGTAGATATAGGGCATGTACCCTGAAAAAATTTTAACTAAAAATTTGAAAAAGAAAGAACAGAGATCTTATAGACATTTTAACTTGAATTAAGTTTTAAAAAGTGCTAATTTAAAAATCAAATCGACGCGTGTAGATTAACAAAGATTTTATACAATTAGAAAGACTGGTAATTTTAAATTTTAACAAGCAGTGTAACAGCTACGTGAGTGATACACACCTGATGATGGCCATTTAGGGCCGAAACATGTAGTGTGGAGGAGGAAAAGAAGTAAAAACTACAATAAAATTTGTTGCACTTAAGACGGTATTTATCCATATATAAAGTTGTTGGTATATCGGTATCAGCATAATTCCTGTTCATTTTTTCTTAATTCAGTGTCTTCTCTCATTTAGTATTGAATTTGTATATATTCACAGCCCTGTCATCTGAATCTTAAATTTATTCAATATATGGTTCTCCCCGGCTTACTATTCAAATTCTTCTTTCCTGAGAAATATTAAATTTCAATTTCACTATATATATTTAAGATATATTCAAGTTCCACTGCCAAGGTATTTAGTATGTGTCATAAACACTCTGTAGAATGAACAATGACATAATTATTGTTTTTCTAAAATGTCAACAAAAAATTCTATCTACAGGCTTACTACAAATGTTCATTACCAATTTTAGAACTTCAGAAAATTAGCAGGTTTTACAGGAAAGGAAGTATTAACTTGTCAGGTGTATTTATACTACAGTTTTACAATGTCAGAATTGTTCAAATAGTTGTAGTAACATTTGAGACACATAAAACTAATTTAATTTGTCCCAGGCATTGCTGTGATTACAGATTACAGTGATATGGTACCATATATTTTGGTACATGTTTGCCAGTCTTTTACAGGATTGATCTTAAGAGATTGAAGTGTAAGCTGCTTTCTGCTTGCTTGTTTGCTTACTGGAGTTATTTTTTGATCCTGAAGATGGAGGCAGTTCCTCTGAAATATGGTAAACTGCCAGACCACACAGTGTCACATCACAGATGATAGTATTCTTGGTAGTCACTGCTGTGAGACCTTTGGATCCCACATTGTAAAGATTTTTGTCTCAGCTTTAATAGCAAGAAAAAAACCTGAATTTTCCATTGAAGGTGGAACATACACATAGCTCTTGTATAATTCCTTAGAAGAAAATCTTGGTAATGTAACATCTAGAGATATTGGAGAACACTGGCAATCCACATGCATATCATGATGTAAAATGAAATGAATATCTGTATTGTAGTCACAACTGCTTGTTGGAAGATGAAAATCTCTCTGACTTACTGAAGCTGCAGTAGCATTAAGCAGTGTTCTGGCATGTCAAGAGTATGAAGTGGCTATGGTGGTAAAGTAAAAAAAATAAAATAAAACTATCTCTGTAACAGTCCAAGAAGGCCCATAGGGTTGTGAGATGTCGAGGGTCCCACACTATCTAGGCAGTCGGCTCAAGGATGGCAATAAGGTTGTCAGCCTTATGCGCCGGCCGCGCTTTATTCCCCAGGAGAATTATTTAATTAACTCCTGGTACTCATTTCTGTTAGAGGCTGAGTCAACCCCAGGGCCGTAGTGCGTCTGGAAGCATTAGGTCAATTGAAAAAAAAAATCCAATGACCTCATCAGGACTTGAACCCGCGACCTTCCGGCTTGTAGCATAGTGCCTCAACCAACTATGCTACCGCGTGCCCCTGTGGCTATGGTGATTCTGTTAACAATGAAGACAATGCCACAGATATATCTCTCACCCAATCACTCAAGGACCTGAGCCTTTCTTGACATGCTACCAATCTCTTTACGGTATCTATATTATCACCCAGTAGATTCACATCATCAGCATAGACCAACAGCTGATCATGTCCCATTTAATTTCAGTCCCACATAGTTTCTTGGATCTTCCTAATGGCATATTCTAAAGCAAAGTTAAAAAGCAATGGTGATAAAAACATCTCCTTCTTTTGGACCATTCTAGATTTGAAAAGTATCAAATGTGTACCTATACATACTTTACCATACATTTCATTTAAACACATTTTAATCAGAATTTAGATTAGCAAGTTCAAAAGCACCCCTGTCCATATTTGTGCACTTTCTATAATGTTTTTATTGCAAGAAGTCTGTGTGAGTTTTGATAACCATGATTCTTGTTTATTCCAAACTGTTTGTTCATATGAAAATATGTACACTTGCTTTACTTATGTCATTTGTGAATCAGTGAATAATTCTGGTGTTTTGTTACTATAGTAAGAGTTAATACACAAACATATCTCCATAGTTGCAATAAACACCCTTTCAGGGGTGATACTTACTCACCAGGTCCTAGTTCTTCCAGAGATCATTAACCCCCTCACATCTTATTTCCAAAAATTAATTTTGGTATTCACTACTTCATTGTAACTGTAAAACTGACAGTGTTGACAGGTACAGTTATCAGTGGTGAACCATACAGAATCTGGTAGATAATTCATTTAAGTAAACAGTGCACCCCACACAAACACATGTACTGAAAAGTTTCAGTGTGGTAGATATCTTGATGGTCTAGGGGTAAGACACTGGCTTTGTCTTTGGTTCAAGACTCTCCAGATAATGGTGCAGAGTTATGTGTATGTCTTTCCCTCTCAAACTCTGATAAAACTGTAACATTTTGAACATGACATCTACCAGGCCCCTCATAGTGACTCTCAAGTGCATCCACCAGTAATTTCTCATGCAGCAACCAGCCATTTTCATGACTGCCATGTAATGTTTTTGCAGAAAACCTTTTCTGTCTTGAAAACAAATTTTCTTTGCATCCTTCATAAATTCGTGGATTGTTTTTATGCAGTTGCTATGGATCTGCTACATAGCTGAAGTGCTTCACCACCATTTTTTGAAAGCAAGTACCACAACAAACTGACCATTGGTCAGCTGTGGAAAAACATTCTCTGAGGTTGTTCCTATTTAGTAAGCTGCTGTAAGGCCGCACCATAGTTCAAGCGGTTAGTCACTGGCTTCCCACCTCGGCGACCCGGGTTTGATCCCAAGTCTGGTCAAGTGGGATTTGTAGTGGACAAAGTGGCACTGGGGCAGGTTTTCTCCGAGTACTTTGGTTTCCCCTGCCAATCTTCATTCCACCAAATGCTCCACAATCACCCTCACCTATTATCTGGGGCTGGTACAATAGGCCAGAAGTGGCCGCAGTACACGGGACTTAGTCCCACCCCATTAGCAGTAAAAAAAAAAGCTGCTGTGTGGTCATGGGAAATATATGTTTGAGAACCACTGTTTATACCCTACATTCCACCTCTATGATCCAGTTAGCAAAGGAACTCATTTTGATCTGGCTGCACCCCAGTAACTAAGAAGGGATATGGGATTCCCTGTAGACTGTTCATGGTAGTTGGCCACAAGCCTGATAAAACAAGTGAGAGCCATCAAAAAACATCTTGAGGAAAGGCCAGGGACCGTCAACATGGATTGTGATGACAGGCCACCTGACTCCACCCACTGTTCCCTTAGTGGTATGCAGGGGGACAGCTGAAAGCATTCTCTGTGGTACAAATGCAGTATGCAAATGTGGCACCCATCACCCTGATGGAGATGGAAAGAGTGTCTGAAATGTTGTATACTGACTCCAAACTGACATGGCTGATTGCCTGAGAATAGATTCATTGTGAAACGTTCAAATCATACATATTTTATTCATGTTTATAAAAATTAGAATTTACATAAATCATCTAATAGGTATGTACAGTAGTGTAAAATGTTTGTATTTTAAAGTACAAAAGCAATATGGGGAAAACAAGGTCATGAACATGATTTCAGCATTCCTTAAAACAATATACAATTACATTACAATGAAAGTTTATATCAAAAAATCAAACTTAACCTTTTGCTGCACCACGTGGAAATAAAAAGTTGCCACATCGTTTTGGCCCTGCTTTGTACTGTGGTTTAGTACATTATGCACGCCATTTGATGTTTAATATTACTTCATTCTGCTGTGTTATAGCCCCCAAAAAAAAAACATTTTCATAAGTGATTACAAAATTTAGCCACCTAAAGTAATTTGAAATCTACTGCACTTAAATGTTTTACAGAATCAGACAAGAAATATACAAGTGAAATAGCACTATATAAACGAAGAATAAACATTTTTAACATTCATTACAATGGACAACTTTTTACATTGTTATACACATTTAATAGTGTCTCATGAGGTAAATTAAAATTGCACAGTTGCATTATACATGGGAATTATTCATTGTTTAGTGTTGTCTGTTCTTCAAGTAATATCTTATGGTAAAGACCCAAATTTCCACACAAATTAGAGTACTTTGTAAACTTACTATGATCCAGGATGATTTCTCATAAACATCACCAAAAAATAAGTGTACTTTATGATGATATATCTGATGGGGCAGCCCCAAGGGTTGTATTTTATATGGGTAAAGAAGAATGAACTTCATTGGCAGTAATCTGTAGATTTAATTCTGTGGTGTCTTGCTGCATACTTATAATAGTTCACTCTTACGTATAATGATTCACAGTACTGTCTGACATGAATCACCATTGAGAATCTGCATGTGCCTACCTTACATTGTCTAATATCCTGAATTACTCATAATTGATTGTTATCACATACTGTTATTTGTTGAATCTTTCAAAAACAATATCAGTATGGATTATACTCAGACGCTAGGAAGTCAAGATGAAAATAAAACTGGAAGTAACATGATCAAAAAATAGAATAATCTGTAGTTAATTTAAAAGATGCAGTATAAACTTCCGTATTTTAATTATAGAATCTGTTGTATCATGTAGAACAAGCCAATTGTTAACAGATCAATATCACACTTTTATTACTAGTTTATTTCACTCTTCAAGAAAAGTCCCTGCTTTGCTCCCAGCTATGACTTCAGTTACTGTAACAATTTGATTACATTGTTGGTAACAGTAATATGACTTCCTATTATGGTCTCATGCAAGAATATGGCTTTTCAAAGCTTTGGGTTATTAAAGAGTATAGGAGACTAGATTGTTTGCAAGCAGATTAACCACAGGACTTTCAGAACCACCCAATCATTGATTATACATTAGTAATGATGCTCATTAAATCTCTTTCAGTAATAAATATCAGTCATGATATCTGGTGGTTCAAAGTTGACTGTATCTTTTCATCCTGTTAACAATTTCCTGTTTTAATACTTGATTGAATTTCATGCCAGCTTACTACCACTGAAATAGGGTTATATGTGGGATGGCCGATTTTGGCCAGTGGATCTCTGATGCATAGTGGTCTGACGCAAGTCGGCGAGCCTAAGATTGGTCAGCATGCGCAGCAACACTATGTTGCCTCAGTAAGAAGGTAGACGTTTAACTCATAGGATCACTGTTATTAGTAGATACTGTGTGCTTTTCCCACTTGCCAGTTGCTTATTTTTAGTTGATATATTTCCTTTAGGGCAGTAACACATTTAAAAAGAAAACAAATGCAACCTATTCAGTCAAAACTTGGTAACAAAACATTGCACAGCCAGACCCGAGAGGTTGTAAATAACATCCATTCATTTATGAAAAGTGAAGCGACCGCAGGTCATGTATTGATACCGTTAAGAAAGGTACAGGAGAGAATAGCAAGGTCAACCGGAGTTTCAGAAAGAAGTTTACGGAGAATTCTGAATGAAGGCTCTTGATGTGAAAAAGAAGGTGCTATGTTCGGAACTCCCGGTAAACACCATTCTGTACCTAAATGGATAACAAATCCAGATGATTTCTACACCCAAGAAGAAACTGTGCCTACTGTGAGGAAACTACTTCCAAAACTCAGGGAAACCATAACCTGAAACCAGCCTGAAATTGATTTTACGGAAGATGGGTTTTAAATGGAAGAAAACTTTAAAGAACAGGGGCGCCTTGATCGAGAGGGATGACATTAGGTCGAAGAGAGTAGCATATTTGTGTGCAATAAAGAAGTACAGGGAGGAAGGTCAGACTACAATTTATGAGGACGAGACCTTCATTCACAGCAGTCTCACCAGACCTAAAAACTGGATGGATGACACTCCATCAGGGTACATGGCACCCGTATCGAAGGGCCAGAGGCTGATTATTGTGCACATGGGAGGCAGAACCGGCTTCATTCCTGGGTCATTGTTGATATTTAAATCTCATATCAAGACTGGGGACTATCATAGCAAAATGAATGCGACAAATTATCAGAAGTGGCTAACAGAAAAATTTATTCCAAATTTGCTTCCAAAATCAGTTCTTGTTGTAGATAATGCCCCATATCACACAACGTGCAGTTTAATAAGGCGTCAACCAGCCAGACCACGAAGGCCAAGATGATGGAGTGGCTTACAGTGAACAATGTGCCATTTCATGACGGAATGCTCAAAATTCAGCTCTGTGACCTGATAAAAGCACATAAACCCATCCACAAAAACTTTGTAATGGACAACATAATGGCTGCATATGGACACACAGTATTACGACTTCCACCTTATCATCCAGACTTGAATCCGATTAAACTCGTTTGAGCTCATGTTAAGCAGTCAGTAGGGGCAGAAAATGTCTAATTTCATTTGAATGACATGGCAAAGAAGTGTGAGAAATGGTTCAGTGAATTTGGAATAGAGAATTGGGAAAAAGTTTGCGACCGCACCGAAAAGAATGAAAAGGAATATATTGAGAAAGAGGGAATTAGAGAGAACGCTATAGAAAGAATTATCATCCGACGTTCTGAAGACAGCAGTGACAGCGACTCCAGTTATAATGATACAATTTAAAATTTTAAACCATTCGACGAGTCAATAATAATTTTAAACATAACTGACAAAACCAACAGGGGGAGTTCTGGAATATCGGGTGCCGATTGACGACAGAGCAACGAACAATTGGAAATCTGGAGTTTAAATGTTAATATTGAGTGCGGTGTGGCAGCTACGTGAAGTGAAAATACACCTAATGATGGCCGGTTGCAGCCGAAACATGTAGTGTGAAAGAAGGGGGACAAGAACTACAATAAAGTGTTGCGTTTATGACGGAGTTTATATTATACATATAGATGAATAGATAATTTTAAATCACATGGTTGAATGATGGATTTTAAGTCTGGGGTAGCAGTTGATCTTCTAGGAATAGGGGGATTTTAAATGTCCCAGTACTGTGCTGCTGGTAGCCATATTTTAACTCAGGGATATTTATATTAGTATTGAAAAATGCAACACTTGGCCACAGAACTGCATATGTACCATTCAAATAATGCAATGTACAGCCAATGAAAGTTAAATTGTCCCTTTAACCCCAGGACAAATACATTCCTTTATTATCAGACCCCTCAAAATCATGTGTGGCTTTTCATGAATTTTTAGACAGAAAACAAAACTGAAGCAAAGACAGTAGATGTAGACATTATCACTACTAACAAGACAGTCTGTTGACAGAAAACTTTTTCTAAAGCTTATGAGGGTATCAGTCTAGTTTCATAAAGCACTAAACAGAACTGGTTACTCTAGTAGTGAGAGTGGTGTAATAAATGTACAAAAAAATTATTTAATTAGCAGACTTCCCAGAATGCACTTAAAATTTCATAAGTAGTTAGCTCCTGATTATTCTGTTTGTATTTTGCCCATTCAATTTTTTCATTTGTCCTCTATACAGGTTAACTCCCATTCATTTTTCTCTGATTTCATTCTTTCCATTATTTAATGTTCAATTTCAATGATCCCAGGTCAGTAAATTCAATATTAAATTATCTTCATTTAAGATTTTCCCCAGTTCAGAGCTACTTGACCCCCAATTAAAAAGCCGTAAACATGGGTTTCACCGTAATCACGTTTTTACAAACAAAGATATGTGTCAACTATGCTTTCACCCCTTTTTCTCATTTTGAACAATTGATGTGAGGGTTGGGGAAGGAAGAAGAGAGATGGAAATGAGGAAGAAGATGCTATAGATAGAATTATTTCAAATCAATCAAAAGTGAAGAAGGCAGGCAAGTAGGCTGTGCCTGATCATTGTAAACTTTGACTCCCAAATGTCAAACTGTAATACAACTGATGGATCAAGGTGTGACTGTGTCAGTAAAATAACACTACTAGGTGTCCTCAGAACTGCTGTCAAGAAAAGATGTTATGATACTCATATAAATGCCGCTATATGCTGTATTTAGTGTGTCAGGCGTGGTCTTCAGTGAAACCAGTAATGCTTGTTCATTCATGGAGAAGTTCTTCCAGATCTAGAGGAAGATGAGTTTCAGGATTTATCCAATGAGAAAAACATCTGAAGTTACTAATTTGATCAATGGTTTTGATGGGACTGAAAACACTGATGAAGAAAACTTTCAAGAATAGCTGCAAAGTGATGCATGTAAACCTGGCTTCCGGCACAGGCCGATTATCAGTGCTGACAAAAAAGAAGACAAGGTGACATTGAAGAAGGAAACAGTACGTGTTGACACTTTGATAGACTATATGACTGGGGATTTGAATATAGCCATATTACAGCTGGGAGAATTCAAACTGTCATGAAGAGACTAAACAATTGTCATGAACTACCGTATTTACGCATGTATAGGCCGCACATTTTTTGCCAAAAATTCAAGAGGAAAACTGGGGTGTGGCTTATATTCGAAATATTCAAAATCACACTTCATTTAAAAAAAATTATATTCATAATTATTTCGGAATAATTTCTACTCCTGAAATAATATTCCAAGAAAATTATTTTTTCTATAATTTGTCTGAAAATTGTGCTGCGGCCTATACATGCGTAAATACGGTACTTTGCCCCCCCCCCCCAAAAAAATTAACTTGCATAGACTTGGTATGTAGAAAGTGGTGAGATAACCTGTGATTTTTAATTATTTGTGCAGCTTATGCCCTTTATTAACCAGAATAATTGGGAGTTGACTGTATTCCCAAATCTTATAATAACTCATACTGAATGAGTGAATATTTTGAAAATGTTACTTAGTGAAGCTGCACCAAACAAAGCATATACCATTAACGTAAGTTCATTAATGTTACAGTAATGATAACAGCAGCTTTGGCAGAGAATTTTCAAACTGTGTGTAGTAAGATATTGAAAAAATCGTTAAAAGGAAATGGATGGTAAGGTAATTTTAATTTGCTTAGAACATACTTTGGAATTTAACCTAAATAATAAATAAAATTACAGCTTTGAATACATCCTTGTACAATGACTGCATAACTGTCACTCCAGAATATTGCCAAGGGAGTTCATTCCCTCCATTTTGGTTAATAGACCATAATGATACTTCAGTTATAGATTTATGTACAGCTGTGACTTGCATATTAATCTGTCTTTTCAAAGCTCCATTCATTGCTATCACATTAAGTTCCACGTCAGGATGCATCTAGAATGGCTTCTGTTTGACTTTCTTTGTCTTCTGCCTCAATCTTAAGAAAGGATGATCGTAGTGATCCAAACTTGCAAGATATTTCAAGCAATTCTCGTAGGCCCTAGAAAACATAAATGAAAAACACTTTAAGTACTATTAGGAGCCAGGACAGCATAGTTGGTATAGCGACTGGCTATGGGCTGGATGGCTGAGCGGTCAAGAGTTCAAGTCCCGGTAGTGGCAAGGCTTTTCTCCTCTCTACATCGTCAAGGCTGCTTCTGAGGCCCACCCAGCCTCTTATTCAATGGGTACTGGGGGCTTTTTCCTCGAGTAAAGCAGCTGGGGCATGAAGCTGACCAGTCGTCTCCAACTAGTGCTGAGATCAAGAATACATGGCTCTCTCTATACACCCACTCCCCCATACATATTCATGGCATAGTGCTTAACTATTTAAGCACAGGGACAACTTTACATTTACCTGAATTATATAACACATAAGTTTCTTAAAAGTGATGCACAGTACTTGGATGCTGATAATGTTTATTACATTGCTAACAGGATCACAAGGCAAGATTGCTAAAAGCCTACTGGTGATAATTATAGATGCACTGTAAATAAGCTTTATAGGAACTTAATTTAGTGGTCATTTATGGCATTGTGTTCACCTAAACAAGACTTCAGATACTGAAGGCAAACAATATAAACAGTCCTATGAACAGCCCCCTGTTTTCTTCAACATTCAGTCTTCTGAAAATGAGTGCTGTTGTCATAACATGGGCAAGACTAATTCTTTCTGAAAAAGTAATTCCGCTGAGCTAGATGACCAAGGTTTAGTTCCTAGCAGGCATGGGATATTTCTCTTTGCCATCATGTCAAGACCCACTCTGGAGCCCAGACAGCTTCATATCCATTGGGTATTAATTGATTCCTCTCTGGGAGAAGAGTGACTGACCACACTAAATAGTGTAGCACTCTGCCTATATGCGTCCTGGTTTGGTGCTTAGGCAGAGATACAGTTTTATAAACAATTTCTGTGAAAATGTTTTCTGTAGAAAAGTGGCAACAGTGTGATTCCAGCTGAACCACTATGCCATCTCCTGAACTGTTTAATTTGAAGACTGTGCAACAAAAGGATGCAAAATGTCTTTCTTTTCAAACATATATGATATCTTGATTTCCCATAAATTGAAAGACCTTCCTAGTAAATCATGTGTGTTCAAGAAGAGAAAAGTGTTGCATTTCTCCTGGATTCCTTTTATTTAAAAAATTGCCTTTTATTTTATTTATGGGTTATTTAATGACACTGTCCATAGCTCAGCCTATACAGCACAGAATAATAGGAGGATCAGTGAAAAATAAATTAGAAAGAATGTGGAAGGAAGCGGTCATGGCCTAATTTGACGTATTATCCTGGAATTTGCGAGGAGGGACTACATAAACTCATGAAAAACCTTAGTCAGGATAGCCAGTTTCCAGGCCTATATTTGAACTGGGGCCTTCTGAATATGATGCAGGAGTATTAACTACTCAATCATGACATTTAGCCAAAAAACTGTCAAAATTATAAAACCAGTATGTGCTTTCAATATCAATGCTGTATTTCAAGCTTGCAGTCATATCACGTTAGTTTACTGTGTGGAAAAAAAAATAAAATATATATATATATTGGTAAATCTGGAACACTTTTTCATCGGTTTCACTAGTTAAAACGTTTAAAGCTTATGTTGGTTTATTAGTGGTTAAAGGTGAAACACAATTAAAACTGTTACATTTCTCTTGGAGTCAAGCTCCATCTCCAAACACAAATAACATATACTGCAATGTAGGGTAAGTTTAGAAATAGATATTCAGTAGTCACCTACAATCCTATAATACTCGTTACACATTAGAGCCAATTCCCATTCTTTAGTTTATTGATTCCTGATGTACTTCATGAAATTCTTTCCTTTACACACTACATACTGTAAGATGGTAAAATAACTGAACTGGAGATGTGAGATGAATTAGCCATGGCTATATTTAGGAGGGGGCATGCGGTAGCATAATTGGTTGAGGGGCTATGTTACAAGCCGGAAGGTCGCGGGCTCGAGTCCCAATGAGGTCATTGGATTTTTTCAGTTGACCTAATCCTTCCAGCTGCACTAGGCATTGGGTTTACTCAGCCTCTTACAGAAATGATTACCAGGAATTAATTAAATAATTTTCCTGGGGAGTAAAGCGCATAAGGCTGACAACCTTACCGCCATCTTTGAGCCGATTGTCTAGATAATGTGGGACCTTCAACGTCTTACAACCCTATGGGCCTTTACAGCCTGGTACAGGGATAGCTTTACTTACTATATTTAGGATGCATCCCAGTGTTTGTCTTGAGGAACTGTGAATAACCTCATACAGGATAGTTATCTGTGGGCCAAACCTTAATAGAAATCATATGCTTACATTCAACATAATGTTTGGGTATTCCCATTCAAAGCATGGTCTCATTAGTACAAGTAAAACAAGTGTCAGAATTAGTACCCATAAATACTTAAACGTAGTAACAAACCAAAATGTACAAGAGTAAATCATAGAAATAATAAAGAATGCAGGAGGATTTTACCAGTCAGTTAAAGATAAAGTAAAAAAGTAAAGCTGTAACAGGCTGTGGAGTCCCATAGGGTTGTGAGATGTTGAGGTTTCCACATTTTCTAGACAATCGGCTCAGATGGCGGCAAGGTTGTCAGCCCTATGTGCCAGCTCCCCTTTACCCCCAAGAATATTCCTGGTACTCATTTATGTTAAGAGGCCGAGTCGACCCCAGGGCCATAGTGCAGCTGGAAGGATTAGGTCAATTGAAAAAAATCCAATGACCTCATCAAGACTTGAACCTGCACCCTTCCGGCTTGTAGCATAGTGCCTCAACCAACTATGCTACCACATGCCCCATCAGTTAAAGATACACTTTTAAAATGAAGAATGCCAAAGACAGGGAAATTCATTTATTTAAAAACTGCTAGAGACTGATACTAGCATACAGAACAGAAACATGAGCAAAAGCAGATGGTAGAAGACTAATGGTAGGCAAAATGGGGTTTTTAAGAAACAGAGAAGAAAAATCAGGAGAATAAAAAAATATAATTTAAGATAAATACATTGGAAGATAATTCAATAAACACCCAAATAAGAGAGTATGGCAGATTCTATAAATAAATGAAAAAAGGATACAAAAGATTCTGAACATGAAATTAAACAGAAGAGAATATACAGATGATGTTCCATGTAAATGTGCAGACATTGCCAAATGCATCAGAAAGATGTTATTGAAATATTACATCCAAGAGATAGTTGAAGCCCTTCATGAGAGGCTGATATTTTATACTTACTTTATTCTCTGTTGTGAGTTTTGAAACTAGTTCTTGTTCACTAAAAGCCCTCTTGTCATCTGTCTCGGCAGCATGTTCCATCACAGCAGCCATTTCACAGATTTTATCTGACTGTTCACAGATTAACTACAACATAATTAATCCTAATTAATTTTCTTACTGCCAACCATTGTTACAACATGTGCAATGATTGCCATGCTAATCTACTTAGCAGTTACCATCCAGATGATCTCTTCAGCTCTGGCAGTTTTAACATTAAGTGGCTTGTGGTGTGCAAAGGGTTAATGAGTTTCTTTGACTGATGGTGTCACAAACGCTCAAGTTATAATCAGTGTATAAGTAGAATGTCTTGTTATGGTGACATTATCATCTCACATTTTAATGTTTGTAATAGTCGAAGGAGGAGGAGCTAGGTATATGAGGTTTGCGACTTTAACAGTGTTGACCGTGAAAAGTATCATCTTCTGTGATATGTACTACACAATGACATCTTTAAGACAGTCTCTTTAAGATGAATGATGATTATATTCATCATCTACAGTCATCATCATTGGCATATCAGCAATTTTTGAGACGTAGCCTTCCTTGGAATATTCTTCCAGATATCACTTCTTTGAACTTTGCAACAATTTTTTTTTACAGAGCAAGGTTGTCAGCCTTGCATCCAATCTCCAATCTGGAGGACCAGGTCCCTGTATTTATGTCTCCCAGTGCCAGGGTGGCTCTGTTATACCCCCAGGCATGGGGTTCCCTTTTCATTTTCATTGCCTTCTATGACTTGCAGAGCTATGGTGGAGGTATTCTAACCCACCTCCACATGGGGAGAAGTTTATATGACTCAATTAAAATTTTAAAAGATCTTTTCTTTCAAATGGATCAGAAATCTAGACAATAAGAGAATACAACAGAAGTATTCATACCACTTTTTTACAGAAAACAAATAGTTGAAAATGATGGGTGAATTTTCCAAAGAAAACTTTCAATGATGTCACTTACCTGAGAATATTTATTGTTGGCATGAATATTTGTTAAATCCTGTTTACTGCTTGAAACTAGTTTTGTAACTTGTTGGCGATATTTTGACATAATGAGTTCCAATGCATTTTGATGCTCTTCTAATGCTGCCCTTAGCTCCCGATTTTCTTGCTGTAATTCACGTAGGTGACGGTTTTCTTGTTGTATTCCTGCAACTAGTACTGTGTGTGGACGTTGCCGGGCTGTTTCATTAAGATCTCCTACTTCTTCTTGATACTGTTAAAATGTTGTTCTACATATAAGTCTCAGTTCCTAGTCTACAACATATATACACTACCATGTATTTTTCTGACCATACCAATGACATTACAACTTGCATACAGATCTAAATGGTGGCCTTCTGGATTATGACAATACACGGTCTGCAGGCAACAGATTTCTCAAAAACATCAGGAACTACGTGTCATAACCCAAATGATCAGAATCTAAATCTTCACTGCCTTGAAAACCTCAAGTACTGCAATGCTTAACTTGTAGAATTCTAATAAACACTATCAGGGAAGATCTAAATGGAACTGAAAACTGTAACCACAGAGTAACAAAGACTTCAGAGTCCATCATACAATGTCAGGAGATCACAGATGTTCATTTTACCCACTCTGTAAATGTAAAATATTTAATTTGTCTCTGTAGTCTTTTAATCACTGGCTCCATGCTCATCAGAGCTTGCTTGCCAAAATATTAAGTTATCCATCTCATTATCTATATATTAAAGTTATTCCAACTGAGTGCCATACTGCACACCAAACTTCCTAATTGTATTATTTCAAATATCATCATCCTCACATCCCTATACAGGGGGAAATGTTCCCAGCAGGTTTATGTTCTCTCACATAATCTCCAACAACTGTTGGCTTCAAACATGTCATTGCACTGCCTTGATGACTTGAGTTACAATAGCACAGGATGAAGACTTTAGAATTAAGACTGCAAATGTCCTAACTTATATATATATATAAATTTTCAGAATAACCTGTCATAGTGGGCCAAAGTGTTCGAAAATTAATTTACAATAACCAATAACGTGACATAATAAGAGTTCAGTAGCAAAGTTAATGGTAACTTCACTTTTCTCATCAATTTGCCATAGTTCCCAAATGACAGTGAAGTTTATTATGAATAATTATAAAACTTGTAAAATTTAAATATTGTGTTATATATAATATATTACATATACTGAAATGTACGCAGAATTAGTAATTCCTACCTGCTTCATGGCATCTATTTGTTTATAAACAGACTGTGTTTGTGATAATAATGCATCAGCTGCAGAATCATGCTCTTTTAGTCGACTGGCTAAGCGCTTGGCATCGAGAAGTATTTGCTGAATTGTTAAAGACATCTGTAAAACGAAAATTACATGTTATTATATAGTTCCGTAACCTTCAACTGAGGGAATCTGTAAACAAAAACAGGAAAGTCATCACATAAAATTTCAAGTAAGACTTGGATCATCACTCTCCAGCACACAGTATGTCTTTTATAATAATAGCCTACGAACAATCTAGCACTTTTAGCTTATGATATGTTCATATTTTTCTCCAACTCTACACCTTTCAAACAGCTGTTTCGCCTTGATATAGAGAGCGATGAAGTACAGCTTTCTTGATACATGTGCCAATCCGTGTTGGTGTAGATCATCCCACAACTAATAAACAAGATTGTCTGTGGTGACCACGGACCACCATCGACACTAGCAAGGCAAAGGGAAAAGTGCGACGAAAGTGCAGTACGGTACATATTCCCAACAGATGCCGCTTGAGCACTGCTACTGCTGTACCAATCAACGCTCAAGTGAGGCGGCAATTTCTGAGTAGGAAAGAATGCGATTCATTTTGCATCTGCATTAAAATTTGTTGCTGCTATGCTGTTGGCGTTTGAAGACGAAGTTATGCATTTATATTAGTTTTCCAGTGCAAGGGGGCCTAATTTCGTGTTTCATTTTGTACCCCTTTGGAAGGCAAATCAATTGTTACGAAATCTGAAAGCTGAATTTTTGGCCTGACGTATTCAGTGTTTCCTTATTCACAATAATTCTTCTGGAATTAAATGTATGTTAACCTCGAAGTAATTCAAAATGTTCCCAGTTTATTTTATTTCTTACTTTTCGTATTGGGAAAAAATGGTCTCGTGCCAGGAAGTAGGAACTGGTATGCATAGCACAGGAGGATTCTGCCGCACCCAAGGGCAGAAACAGCCCAAATTTTACTCTAAATATTATTTTTCATCTTACATTTGTTTATTTAATAACGTTATATTAGAACCAGTAGCTTTCTAAGCTTAATTTATGAGAAGTCAAAACAGGTCTGTCGCACCTGCTCAAGCTGATTCGCTTGCGGATTTCTTCTTGTCTTCTACCCTGAAGACGGAGGCGATACGTTCCTCCGAGACGTTGGTTAACACAATTTCTACACGGCGCCACATACCAGAAGACTACTTTCTTCATAGTCACTGCCGTGAAAACCTCAAATCTTATGTAGTAACATTGGTTTGGGACTGTGGCGGCCGAATAATAGGTGACCTTATTACCGATTCAGCGAAGATGCCGACATTGAACGTACTCGCCCACAATGCAGACCCAGTGAACTGGCTTATGCTCTCTGACAGTTGAAATCGTTGCAATTAAGTATTTTTATCCAAGTTCCGAAGCAATCCGAAGGTTGTGGTTATGAAGATGCCTAAAGTGTTTGGTTAGTTTACGATGTACAGTATTATTTCTAATTAATTGAATGGATTGTGCATTTACAATGTTACCAGTGTAGTTGGTTCTGGCACAGAATGGAATTGATCAAAACACCGAAGGTAGGTAATTAAGAAGTTACAGTTTTTGTGTAATATTTTTGTTTTTTATTTATTATGTGTATAACCTAATTGGTTTGTTATTCATTCAAGAAAGAACTTTAGCGTCATCTACTCATAATTCGGGTTATAATACGGCAGTTGTAACGTGGAACGAGCAACGTTTTCACCAGATGATGAACTTTTCTTTTTAACTGAGCCATATTGATAAACTCGTGTTATTCGTCGCTGAAAATATGTTACCGTTCTAGCAGCAATAGAATTTTTCTGTGCTGAGGTGAAAAGATAATGTTACCCTTGGGCTTAAACACAGCGCCTTGAAGACATATGGAGGAGTAGAGGTATATATTAAAGAATTTTAACCTTGACACTAAGTGGATGTGAGAGGTGGCTTTACATTCTGGTTGCTTTGTCCATTTGGAAAGAGCCGTGTTACCCTTTAGATTTTAGATAATAGACTGGGGAACTTCAAAGTCGGCCTGGATGTGACGGAAAATAAATATCTGTGCTCCTGTAAGCAATGAAATTCCACTTTCCTTATTATCCAGCTCATTAGTCAAGCCACCATATTGACCAAGCTATCCGGAGAGGAATTTGAAAACTAAGCTGTAAATACATTTCATCTGCATTAATATATTGAAGCTCATGAGATCTAGTTCTCCATATGACATGTTACACAGTTAACACAGTTTAATGCTTTTATAGTATTTAATATTACTCTCAAGAATTCTGTTTTGTACATTAAAATACTTGTGTAACTGGTGAAAGCTTCAGCAGTTATTGGATGCTTTGAAATAATTAACATTTATGTACTAAACCTAAATTGTTGAAACTTTCTACTTTGTGATAGTTTTTCCCTGTCCTTGTAAGTTAAGGAAAAACTATGTTCTTACTCCTCATGTAGGTGTATTATAGGACTGGGTTCCCATGTGTTAATCTGAAATGAGCATTAGAGATCTGACTTTGCGTTCTACTTTTTTGCTGTCTACGCGAACATCGGTTAATCTTTTCTTGTCATTTTCTCTTTATTGCCACTACATGTTTCGGCCTAACTGGCCATCATCAGGTATATAGATTGTTGTGATGAAGGAATCTGCTGCTCACTGTAATTCTGTTCTGCTATTCTTATGTGATTGCCTCAGATTTAACATTTGTTCACCCATTTTTATCAATTGTTTATTTGACGTTTTTTAACAGCACTTCTTTCACTCACAGGCCCCTTCCGTTTAGCACCACTTTGTAATAGTTCTCTTCCTACACTCCTCACACCTTTTCACCTTTATTGTAGCTGCCTCTTTCGCTGTACTAATAATTATCTCAGGTTGTTTTTATTATATAAGGAGGTGAGGTTGTATTCGGTATAGCTGAGGGTCTCTTTTTCTCAAAGCCTTTAATGGGCCTCAACTCCAAGAAGGCAGGAAATAAACTCAAAGCTACACAAGCACATATCAAGTTTAACTGGTTTATTATTATTAAACATTTATGTTGCGCTGCTTTTTAATACAAACTCCAAAATTTAGCTCATTAGCAGGCGGTGCAATAGAACGTTGCGTTTTTTAGGTCTAAATTTCATGATTCCAGCCTCATGTATTTTGATATGGGATTAAAATTGTGTTCTTCTGCAAGATCATTTCAAGAAGCATTGCAGTTCTAGCTCGAATTTACAGTTCATAAAGTCTCGACTCATTCGGCATACAGAATGTATAATGCATAGACCTCATATAATGAAATAAATTGTTGCTGCATCTTCGTGTTGAAGAAATCTTCTGAGTTGAAAATAAGTATCCTGAGCTGTTCTCAGAAAGTCATATTTACAGATAGTTGTAGGTTCAGGTATGAAAATTCAAAGCAGGTTGTTATAGCAGTGATATTGTAGGCTTTTATTCAGAACCTGAGTTGAATCTGCAGAGTATCTGGCGGCCATTGCTTGCTTGATTGTGGTTCCTTTCCTGCCTTACTCTTTGACTATGAAGGTCAAGGCAACATGTCTCTACAAAACATCATGTGACTATCACCAAACTACACAGCATTATAACCCAAACTATACTAATCTTTTTCTGCCTGAAGTTTTCTTAGCTTTCCTCAGTTTCTGCAGGAAATTGTTAGGGTTGTGCCTGGAAATAGGCCAAGACTACCTTCTAAATCCTGACCTATTTACTATTAATGTGCACTCAGCACTATGAAAACACAGGAACTGGAACATCATCATGAAATATCCTAACATGTATCAGCCATACAAACTTATTTAGAACATGGCAAAAACCTGACAAAATTTGCTTAGAAAAGGGAATTAGTACAAGGAGTTACCCTTCAAAGATAGGACATATTTTACACTACACACCAAGGAGATAATTACTATAGCAATCTGACATACCCACAGAATCCTATGCAGTAATAAGTTGTCAGTACACGCCCTTGAATCTGTTTGAACTAAACATGGCACCAACAATAGCATATGACATAGAACCAAATTAATATAATTGTACTGTAAATAACTTGAAAAATCTCAGCAATGTGAAAACCAAGTTCTTAAATAGAATAGTATGTTTATCTAAATATCACTGACCAAAGTAAATTCACTTATGTTCTTTCTTTAATGCATTTCTTTGTATAGACAGTGCAAAAAAAAAAAAGAAGAAGCAAAGGTTGTCTGAAACAGGATTTTAGCAAATAAGATGTTTAATTCTTACTTGTTTGATTTATGCCTATGAGTAGTTGCATGCAGGTAAAAACGTAGGGGTCATGTTTGTACTACCCATATTGATTTTCACCGAGCTAAAGGTTTGTAGGTCTGTAATAAAGGTTTCCTTACTGTGGAATGTTTAAATAAATTTTCTGAATATGCGTTATGGTTTCGGCTGCCTTTAAGCCCTTGATGTACTTTGTGTAACAGGGCTCAATACCATCACTCTTTTTTCATGAGGTGCTCTTTCGGCTTCTTTAGAAAAGTGAAAATTTCTGGAAAAGAAAAAAGTTGCGCTGTTGAAATTTTAATTGTATATTCGGAAAACCAATTGAATTTCCTACACGACGGTGTATCATTCTTTAAATTTAATGAAACTGTACACTCGAGGCGGCAAAGCCCAAGAGGGTTCCATAATACCACCTTTTCCACTGCTCTCACGTTATTCTCTCTCTGTGGGAGAAGAGCAGCATCAAAAGCAAGTGTAAAGATGGCTGCCATCGTTTGGCTGCGTGGTTTGTTGAAGTTGTTCCACCGTTTCAATGCATATTGCAGTCACCATCTTCGGATTCATTCAGTGTCACACTCGTCCTGAAGATATGTCCCGAAATATTGGAACAGCTTCAGTAGATGGCACTTATAAACCCCAAAAGCCGAAGTTATTCATTAAACGTAGGCCGCTAAAACAAGGAAGGTAATGAAGTGCTCTCGAAAGACAAATGAAGGAAGTGGACAGATTAGGATACTGGATAACGAAGAACTTCGTTATATAGTTTTTTTTCCCTTGGCACTACAGCCCCAGTGGGCCTAGGCCTGCCTCCATGAACTTCTCCGTTCACTTCGGTCTTTTCTAGATCATACACATTCTGCAGGACTCCTTGGGACGGTGATCAGCTCGTCGCAAGGCCTCTACCTGTACACAGACACGGAAAATCGCGCACACACAAACTAAACAACCATGCTCTGAGTGGGATTCGAACCCACGATCCCGGTTTCCAAGCGAACGAAGACAGTACATGCCTTAGACCGCTCGGCGGTAGACGGATCGTGTAGCTCGGATTGGGAGCCAAGACGTTTTCATAATTTTATTTGGAAACTTCTTAGAGAACGAAGGGTAACATGAAAATGTATCTTGGCTTGTGTGGTTGTGGATTAGGTAGAAATGGCCTGGAATTTCAACTATTGGAGGGCTTTGGCATAGAGATGTTGCGCCTTGTAGGTTTTCCTACAGTACTATGAATTAATCACAGCGTTTACGACACTGACTGAGGAAAATCGCAGGCAACATCACTTGGGATAACAGGCCTCCATGCCAAGATTCAAACTGATTACCCCGAAATTAAGAGACCGCGACAATCGGTATGAAAAGAGTAGGTAATAGGCCTGAGTTTAATATCGAAGTCTGAAAG